GGGGTGGGGGGGGGGGGGGGGGGGGGGGGGGGGGCCGAGGTTCCACAACTAGGTGTCCAATGACACAGACCACGTATTACGACATTCGTTAAGAAGATCGAGACGGAGAGAGAGGCGACGAATACAGCCGAAGCCGTAAGAGCGAAGGCTTGCTCTCTCCACGGTTCTGGGTTGGAAAGTCCGAGGTAGATTGCACGGCTTTTCGCGTCTGATCGGTCTTTCGGGTTCTACGTTTTCGGTCGAGTTGGATACCCACGTATCTGTTTTCTCTTCGAATAGGTGCTCCCCATCTGAATCTCGTTCGTGCTTTCTCCGAACGGAAGGATTCGATGTCGCTTCAGAGTGCATTTTAATTCCTAAAAATGTTTCTTGTCGCAGAGGTGATAAATCCCTTTCTCGCTTCTCAAGTTTCAATTCCCAAGAGTTTTGGATACGGAGTCATCGAATCCATGTCGATCGAGCCGTTGGGTGCTCTCGTTCGTGACTTCGCTTCTTTCCCTTCGAGAAAGTCGGCCACGACCGAGGAGGTGACCTTCACCCGACCACAACGCGCAAGCGACTGAGGTCGGAGGGGGTGGCGGCGGAGAGCCCATAGCGCATGCGATGCCCTTCGTCGGAAAGGGTCAGATGAATTGGGAATTCCACGGCTCGTTCGACACGGGGTTCGCGGAGCATCGTCTCATCCGGTCCTCCACCAGCCAGATGGGATGAGCTCATCCGTTTGAGTGGCTGTCTCTAAGGAAAGCGGGCTGGCTCGAAAAACGCACCAAAATGCAGGCTAGAATGCCTAGATTTACATTCGCAGAAATATGTTGTTGGAAACGAACGTGTGAAAGAGTGTGCTCGTGTGTGTGTTTGTGCTCTTTAGGTGAAGATTCGGAAACGATCAACCCGATCGTCCGCTTTCTCGAAAAAGTATTCCAGCGGAGTAGATTCCAGATCCGTTTCGAATGCTATTCCGTTTATCGTTTGGTACAGCCTGTTCCGACAGTAACAGGATTCCCCTTACAATCTTGCATTTCCGCACTCTCCAGTCCTGAAAATTTTCCCTCCTTGAAGGCAAAAAAGCCTGGGCGTTTCCCATCTCATCGAGTGAACACCAGATGCAAAAGAGATCGCTCGGTCGGCATCGTCTATGCTCGCGGTGGAGTCTGTCGACCCATTGCATTTTTTTCTTCTAATTCGTGTGACGTTACTTTCGCGTCGAGTCGTCGTGAGACTTAGGGTTACGACTTTGGGAAGAGATCTACCGATACGTTGACCTCTCGTCCCTTTTCCATGCCATCAGTGAAGCACATCCTGAAAGATCTCGACGGGCATGCTCGGAGCGGTCAGTTGACGGGGATCATCGGACCCAGCGGGTCTGGGAAGTCCTGCCTCATGAACGTCCTCGCCGGCTACACGTGAGTCGTCGAAACGTCTCTTGCCTTTTTCTGGATCTGTGAGGGTTTGGGTTTCGAACGGTCATCGGTTTAGCTTCGTATTAAAGTAGGAATGCATTTAAGAAATTATTTCTGGTGACTGATCGTGGAAGTCGCGCGATGTTCGTAGTGGCGGTCAAAATTGCAAGTGATCCTCGGTATCTAAGATTGATATCGACCTTGGGAAAAAACATAAAATTTTATTAATATAATAAAACTGCCAATAAACAAGAGAACAAGAACAGCAGGCTATGTGAATGGAAAAAAAAATGCAAGGTCACAATCCACAGGCACAATGACTGAAAAAAAAGGGCTTCAGGGGAATAGAAACGAGCATTTTCAGATTTTGCCCGCGAATTATGCCGGTTTTGTATTCCTTCGTGGGTTTATTCCACGTCGAATCAACTTGCCACGAAACGCGACCTCCTCCGATTTTAATTATATTTGAATAAAAAGTCAAATATAATCAAAATTGAGGAACACGCCACCTTTTTTTATAGTTCTCTGTCTCAGATCTCTAGATAAGGAGTCATGATCACATTGTGAATTTGATGACCTAGTTGCATCCTTGTCCTTCCTTCTTTTCGCACTTCTCTCCTACTTAAGCTAGAGAGATGACTCATGGCACATTTTTTTTTAGCCCTTTTTGCAGGCACTCATGAATGATAGTTATTTCTCGATCGCATGTTTGGAATCCTCAGCTCAAAACTGGCATGTTGCCATTCTTTAGATGTGCACATACGTACAGTGGCATGCATTTGCAAGTTTTTACGATCTAAATTTTTTGTCGCAAGTCTCGATTCTGATGCCATCAAACCTCAAATGAAAAATCAGATGATTTAAAAGAAAATACTTTAGTGGAGCTTGAGCCATTTCTGTCGAGGAATATCATTTTATAACATTACATTTGTGAAATATGAGGGCCTCCATTACTTTCATGGCGAACAGCTGCCTTTCTGCGTTTATTTCCGTTCTGTTCTGGGGAGAGGCCATCATTCACTCGCCCCCTTTGAATTTCCCTATGAAGGGCTCAAATATGCCGGTTGAAAAGGGTTAAATGGCCGAACGTGCTTCTCGCGTTGGAAAATGGTAAATTCTGACGTCTAATTCAAACGTGATTTTTTGTTTTATTCATCATCGTTTTATTAATCTGAGTCCCTGTGTGTACGGAGAACAGACCTTTTGAGCGACTTTCTTCATGATATTGAAAACGCATTCAAGCGCTTTAAAAAGATCGGCCGAGACATGTGAAGAATCTTGAAACTAAGATAGAGGAAATAGGGAAGGAAGGGAAAAAGAGTTCGTTTCCGAATCCGGATCAGGACGAAGGGAGTGACGGGGACCGTGACGGTGAACGGGAAGACGAGGAACAAGAGGAAGTTCCGAAAGCTGTCGGCGTACGTGACCCAGGACGACTACCTGATGGAGAACCTGACCGTGGGCGAGTCCATGACCATGGCAGCCAACCTCAAGCTCCCCGCCACCTTGTCCAAGGAAGAGAAGGCAAACGTCGTGAGTTCATCTCCGCCTTCCCATTCCGCGAGGCACGGTCGTCAGAGCTGCAACTCGAGCCGCGTGCTCCTGTTTTACGCTTTTCCTACAGTCTTCAAGGGCCCGAGGAGCAATGAAGTCTCGAACGGCATCGCTCTTCCGGCTTCTATTTCCCTGTCCCATCTTCCTTCCGTTTCATTTCATCGTGACTTTAGCGTCTGGATATTCCTTTTCGTTTAGTACTGGGCCTCGTTTCCTCGAATGCTTTTGGACTTACACCTTAGGCCACGTGCAGGATATATTTGCATTAAAGTCAACCCGCACCTAATCCATATGGACCGGGAACATCAGCGCGATTAGGTATCGAGACGACAGCCCTCTTATCCAGTTCCTCGGCAACAAGAACGCACTACCTCCTAGGTTGTGGACTCAATGCACCTAGTCGAATTTGGGACAGATCGTCGACGTTCTCTTGAAACCATAGCTCTTCTCCGTTTCCCGCTGGGATTTCAAGAATTTACGAGCATGGTATTACTGAATTTAAATGCTTTCATTCTCCTACCAAGGTTTCGAATCGGGACATGGGACATGATGAGAGAATGTGGGGTAGCATTGAGAAAATGCCTTTCACATGAAATAACACTGTAATAGCACTGTTTTTTACCTAAATGAAACCTCAAAACCAAAATGAATCTCATAATAGCCAATTCCATCAGCACGACGCTTGGTGTCTGGCAATACGCTTGGATCTTCTTTCAATGTCGTTGCTTCGGGAGTCTCTCTCTCTTTCTCTCTCTCTCTTTCTCTCTCTCTCTTTCTCTCTCTCTCTTTCTCTCTCTCTCTTTCTCTCTCTCTCTCTCTTTCTCTCTCTTACTCTTGTTCTCGCAAGAAGAATGACTTGTGAGATGAAAAGGTTCATTTTCACGCTTATCATGCGCTCGTTGTGCAAACCGGACCACTTAATGTCTTCCTATTTGTGTCTGTTCCTCAACCGAGCCGCTCTTGGCTAGCTTGTGTCTTTCTTCTCGTTTCTGAATGCCCTTACCGTATTTTTGAAACGAGTCATTAGAGCAGCGGTCGGCCCGGTCATCGCACTTTACGGTCTGGCAGTAGACGTTCGGCTGCACGTTCGACACGAGACTTTCATTTGTAGTTTTCATTTGTATTAATAGTTTGAATGACACTTGATAGGTGTTGGCCCGCGAACGTGCAGCGTTCTGCCGTCCGGACCCGTTCCGTGATTTTTCGGCGTAGCTTCGACTCGAAAGATGCGATTAGGAGTGGAGCCTATCATCGTTAGGGAGAGTGAGAGAGACTTTCGCTAGCTAGGCAAATTCCGTCCCTATTGCTTCGAATCTTGCCATAGCAATAGGGGCCGAGAGGCAAGGATGAGGGGAACCAAATGATGATGAGCGCATCCGTGCAGCCTCCGTGGAAGAAAATAAATCCCCCCCCCCCCCGCACAAAGTACATGCCCGAGAGAGGACGAAGGACGGAGACGGTGTGTCTTGCATACATGCATGCGAAGAAGCAACCCTCGCGAAAGGGGAATAATGCGCCTCGTTTTCTCATAAGGAAAAGATCTGAGTCGCATTCCTCTTCCTCCTCGAGCGGTGAGATCGGTAGAAATCCACTCGAGTCCCGCATGATGTTGCGTGGGAACCTTTTCCTCACGTTGCAGAAATTCGTTAAAGCATTAGCTGAATGGCATCATGATAGGTAATTTGGTAACAGGGGAAGAAACAGCAGCTTGTTTGCGAAGAGGAATTCTAATGACAGTTTGACCTTTGAAGGCCACCCTTCACTCACGGATAAACTCTCTTGCGCTCTTGTTGGCTCTCTCTCGCTCTCTCTTGCACTCGCATTGCAAGTTGCAGATGTTTGCGAGCCGCAGCATGGCTTACTTCTAACTAGCCCTTTAACCATCATTGCGTACGAGTCAGCGATAATGAAAAAAAAAGAGAAAAAACTTCCAAATAAAAAAATGAAATTGATATATTTCGAAATCTCTACAGAGCGCTGAGGTACGATGGTGAGGCAAACCAAGCTTTATTTCTTCATAAATTGTTCGATTCTACATTTACAACATAAATCTGAATATTGCATGCGCTCGCTACTTGCTCGGATGACGGCTCGAAGCAAGATGCAAGATGCATAATTGCACGTAATTAGGTTGACCCAAAGTCCTCGCTCGATGCAGCATACGAGCCACCTGAATCGGCTGATAAACGCCGTTTGGGCATCTCTTCACTCTCGGAAATACGATTGACGACAGTTTTACACATTTTCCGGGTGGCTTTCACGCCTTCACAACATGCTTTAAAGCAGAATGAGGTGGACCCATTTTTGTGTGCTGTGGTCGATCTCAGCTGTTGAAGGGAGGGGGGAAGGGGGGGGGGGGAGAAGAAAAGGACAGGACTCTGTATACAAAAGAGATTTGCGCAAGAGGCGAGAAGAGGATCGAAATTCATTGGTTAAAACAGACATCAGCAATTTTTCTTATGGACTTTTCTGTATTATTCAGTTTTTGTTCCCATGAACACCAGCTGAACACTAAGTCACAATTCCCTGCAGAAGTGAGAGTTTCAGCATTAAGAATCGTTGCACGCACTTTGATGTGTCAGTTCCTTATTCCTTCTATGTTAGCAAAAAATATTATCATGGATTTTTATGAGGAGGCCTGTTCTAAGAAAGACGCGAAGAATGAGTGCAATTATCTCATGACAAAGAACTTGAGTGTTTTTTTTTCCCATTTAATATTTTTCCTCCTGGCGGTTGACCCAGGTGACGGAGATCCTGGAGAATCTGGGCTTGTGCGCGTGCGTGAAGACCTTATCCCGGTCTCTATCCGGTGGTCAAAGGAAACGGCTGTGCGTCGCCCTCGAACTGGTCAACACGCCTCAAGTCATGTTCTTCGATGAACCCACTAGGTCGGACGAGATTTTCTCCGTCGTTCAGACGCAACCGGTTTCGGGATTAATGGAAATCATGGGATCTTCACATGCATGGGGAGGGGAAGAACCAAAGGCTTGCCGTGCGTAGTTTCCGTGTGGTATGCTCTCGGACTCGTCCCATCGAGGCAGGGTTTCTTGCTATGAGTCTCTGACTCTGTATGATGATGACGTTCTTCTCGTCTCGTCTCGTCTCTCCCCCAGTCTGTGTCGGTCGCCTTGTTACTCTGTAACTCCGAAAGAAAGCAGTGGGGTGAAGTGAAAAAAAAAACACGTTATTGCACTCTATAGTACGGAAGCAATCACATTGGCGAGAAAAATGCAGTGAAATTCAAGTTCTATGCCCTCCAAACACCGAACACGAAATTCCAATGACAGTCCATTGTAGTAGTCGGTGTATCGGTGAATCCTTTTTAAAACCATGCTTCGCCAAATGGAACATTTATGGCATTACCGAATAAATGTCCTCCGATTGTACCTCGGAGCGAATCGGGTCGCAGTGCTTACGTTCCTTAGTATCAGCTGGGTATCATGATAACATGGAGTAGATATGGGACAAAAACGAGACAACGGGAACAAATAAAACTGAGGCAGCCAGAACCATTCTCTGTCGCTACGCCAACATCTGTCGAAATATCGATATTCCAACTGCTCCAGTGTTCGCTTACTGTCGATAAAGGTGAGTTAATTTGTATGTGCTTTAGTGGACTGGACAGCTCGTCGTGCGTGCAGTGCATCAGCCTGCTGGGGTCTCTGGCGAAGGCAGGGAGGACGATCATCTGCACGATCCATCAGCCGAGTGCGAAGGTCCTCGAGATTTTCTCGCAACTCATTCTGCTGGCGGATGGGAGATGCTTCTACGCCGGTTCCGTGAAATCCCTCGTCCCCTATCTGGGGGAAAGTCACGGTCTTCATTGTCCCTCCTATCACAACCCTGCCGATTACGGTCAGTCCACTCTCACGACACACCGTCCTCTGCGTTCGAGCTCAAAAAAGAAAAGGAATACGGTAGAAATATAAATGAAAAAGATTGAAGCTTGAAGGGTGGTCGGTGTTCAATTCGATGGTTCCTTCGACCGTAAAAAAACGAAAAATGACGAGGGGCGATCATTTAGATTGATTTTGTTAATGAATAAAAGTCAACTTGTCATGCACCCAGAAAAAACGTTTCGAGTGAAATTCAATGCTAGGTGAACAAAACCAGAAAAATTGGGCTGTAGAAATTGAAACGTGGATAATGAATGTTGAATCGCTTGGAATCCGATTTAATCCTTTGAATACCTGATCATTTCACAGGTGACGGAGAGGGAATGGGTTTGTAGGACTCCAGCATAAAATAGCTTAATTCTCCTCAACGATAGGGCAAAATTGAACTGGGTGATTACAAATTAATTTAGGAGTGGTTTCACATAGTAATATTTTCAATAATAGTTTAGTCCGGTATTTTTTTTAAATAGTGAATACCAAAATCCTGTGCATTCCTTGGATTCTTTGAAATGCGGGAGTCATGTGTTCACAGACACCCTCGTAGGTAGCTTCAATGGGGAATATGTATAGAATTTGAACCCTTTTCAACTTTTAACATTTTGTGGCCCTAACAGCTGAGAGATTCCTGGTGATGCTTTGTATTTTTTTTTTTTCATGGGATTCATTGACTACAAGCAACCGTGCGCAAAACTTAAATCGTCACCATTCGCCAAAGGAAGCCCCATTTTTCTAAACTCCTTTTTCTCATTTTACTCCAGTGTTAGACCTATTCGGTAAACCTGTTTTTCTTGCATTCCGCATTCAAAATATCAAACCAACGCAATTTGGTCATGCGAGCTCATCGACTGTAACCTGGAGCCGACCCACTCCACGAAAAGCTCGCATTGAAGCGGTTACGGTTGATACTGCGCGTTTTGAACATTTATCCAGTTGTTTGGGGGGGGGGGGGTTCTTGCAAGTTCTTCTCAGTCTGGCATCCCACAACTCTTTGACATAATTGCATTCTATCTGGAGTGCTGTCAAAGAAAAGCGAAGGATGAATTTGGAAGGCATAAAAAGGAGGAGGTTTATATCTTCATAAATTCTGGCGAAATGAAATTAAACAGGCAAAAAAAAATGAGAAACCCCATGCACAAAAGTTTTGAGACTCTTTCCGTGGAAACTCGACCGGTCCAGTCTACTTCATGCCTCAAGTGCGGACGAGTGATTTAGACGTAGGCCTTGGGCGAACTCAGCTGAAAAGCTGTTGTCTGACGCATTTTCTGGGTCAGAGGTTGTCATGGATTGATATTTTTACTTCAGTGATCATGAATGAAGCCCGTTACAGATCGACTTATTCCAAGCTCGCTTCTATTTTTTTTATTACATATTTTCTAATGATATCCATGATCTTTCTAGATCCACCCTGTATTTCCTTTGAAATCGCAGCACTCCATGGTAACCAGAAAGTACTGGTTAGATAAGATTTTCCCTATCATCCCACTTTCACAAATGAATCGGAGAAATATATATGCATAAATACAGCAAGTTTGTTTTTCCCCTCGAGCAAACAATCTCGCATCGGTCACACCTTCGGTCCTACGACGATGTAAGGAAGTGACTTATCCATTTGAAACGTGTGCCTTCGACGCTCGCACCTTCTAAAGTGGTAAAACTCAGCGGCGCATTTTGGTTGAAGAGTCAGGGAGCATGCATAATGGGGCAGCATAATGGTGGCGCCAAACCCCAACCGAGCGATACCATGGGAGAAAATGATTACCTCCAAGATGCGCCAAGCTCAGTCCTTAGTGCAAGGGGCCCCCCCCCCCCCCCCCCCCCCCCCCCCCCCCTCCNCAAGATGCGCCAAGCTCAGTCCTTAGTGCAAGGGGCCCCCCCCCCCCCCCCTTGCACCAAGGACTGAGCTTGTCGCACCCCCTGCCCCTCCCCCCTTCCCCTCGTAAAATACGCCACCGATAAAACCCCATGGATTTTAGGCAATTTTCATTGTTGAGTCAAGTTAGACATCTAATGGGAAGTGAATGGAAGTCTCTCATGGATGGGGATCGGAACTCCATTCTTGTCTCGAGTATTTTTCCTGTCACGTTTCTCGATGAGGTCTACGGTCCCATTCAGATGACTCCTGTTGAACCCATAGCTGTGAAACCATGATTTAGAAAAAGTACGGGGAGGAGAAACCGAAAGCTACATTCTCTGCAGGTTCCTGAATACACTGCAGGTCCTTCTTGAACCCTGTGGGTTCCGAATAAATTACCTGACCAGAGAGAAACTGAAAACAGGTCTGTTTGAATTGCAGAACAGATCGTCCGATTCCGAGTTATCTTCGTTAAGTTGTGCTAAGTTTCTGTAAAGAAATATGTTTCTAAATGTCCCCCTTGGACAACAGCGATGGAGTTGGCCGTGGGTGATCATGGAGGAGAATCCCTCAAACGACTGGTCCAGGCTGCTAAGGATGGCAAGTGTCTTCAATACGATCTGGAACATAACAAGGACTTCTTCCGCACCGGCAGTCGGATCGGTCACGAAAGCAACAAGAGGATTTCGAGGGAGAGCTCCTCGCAGACGGTCCCCCTTGACGGGGCCCGAGGTAAGGGCTTGCCGCTGAAGCGGTTTCTGCGGGTAGGTCTCAAGGAAGCTTCTCGTAGAAGAAATTTTATCCCGACCTCTCTACAGGGTAGAAGGTTCCATCGAATTTATTTTCTAAGTCTTTGAAAATTGGAAATCACTTTGAATTAAGGTGGTAAGCAGGCAACGATCTCTTGGAGAATGTCTTTGAAATGTTGGAACCCTTGATGAATCGTGAGTGAAGGCTGTGTCGATGGGCCAGAGCCAGGAGAAGAAGGCGAAAAGGAGCACAACGGAGAGACGCAGCTAGGCGTGGAAGAGGATCTCTCGAGCGAGAAGCTTGGAGCGGAGGAGGAGGGAAGCGAGTACGCGTCCAGTTTCCCCGTCACCTTCTGGACTCAAGTCCGCATTCTGTACCACAGAACTCTTTTCTCCACCCTTCGCGATGCGGTCAGTGTCTTTCTACTCATATCCATGGTGGACCAAAAAAAGGACAGTTTTCACTCAATGCATACATTTTAATGCGGTTTGCAGCATTTGGAAGAGGAATGACTAAGCTTTAACATGGTGCACTTACATTTCAAATATTTTCAGCAGTTCAAAAAATTCTGAAGCTCATATGAACTACAAACAAAAAGTGCGTTGTTTTTTTATACTGTAGTAGTGGGGATGGACAACCGGCTGCTGAAGATCACATGCCGTCCAAGTCCGAGTGCGCGGCAACGCAGTTTTTGTTTCTTTTCATATGAGCTCCCGAATTTCTAAAAGCGTCGAATAAATTTGAAATATAAATAAACCATTTGAAAGCTTATATATTCCTCTTTTAAATGCCGCAAACCGCATTAAAATATATGCAGTGAGTGATGTGTAGGGTATCGTGGAAAACTGTCAATTTTTGGCTCATCCTGTATGTTATCCTCACCATAACCGCTGCGGTGCATGTGTCAAAGTTGTCAGGGCCTTCCATGGTCTTTCCATTGCATTATTGACTTGCATTTCATGCTTGCAAAAGGAGCAAATACTGTATATTTCGCTCCACGTTTCACGGCTATTTATAGAAGTTTTATACATTTGTTGTGCTGGGTTGAAACTTGGTTCGTGCAATTTTTTTAAATATACACTACATACCAGATGCATGGTATTGTTGCATGTGGCCGTAGTCGTGGTTTTGCGTTCGCCGTGAACACCTGCGGCGAGTCCTCCATTCTATTCAGCTACGAGTATTATATGACTGATCTGTTGTATCTTTTTTCACCATCAGTCAGGTCATGAGGAGGTTCAATTTTTGTTTGCTGCGGACGACACAGATTTCCAAACCAGCTCATGAAGTCAGGAGTCAGGAGAGTTAGTGATATCAAGAGGCGATTTCGCCCATTTCGATATAACGTGTCGAGGTCAAGCGTTCCTTAATTTAGGGTAGGCCTAACCCTCTTAAAGCTAAATATTTTTGTATTTTTGTTTTTGTTTTTTT